AAGTCTTCCGGCCTGTGATGTTCTCGCGCCGGCCGCTTGGGACTATGAAGGTTAGTGTCTCATAGATAAAAACGAGGGCTGGGCTCTCATGCAACCTTCGGGGCAAATGGCTTGAAGCTATGCGGTACCGGTCCAACGTCTTTCTTGTGCTACGAGCGTAGTCTCCTTCCGCCTAGCCGCAGAAGATCGTGCCAACCCCCCCAACCCCCCCAACAAGCTGCGCCTTGGAATGAAGGCCGTTCCCTATCTCGGATATCTGGGGCTATCCCGCCATGTACCAGGTGTGACTCGCGGGTATCGTGCCGCCGTAGTCGACGACGATGACAACAAGAGGCCCTTCTTCGTAGCCGCATTCTCGCGTCTTGGAGGAGCTTGGTAGCATGCATTGACGACGTAATGAACTATCAACCCAGAAGAATAGCAAGCCGCTCAGTTATATTCAATTACAGGGGCAGCACAGCCTTCCGTTCGCGACGCTGTTCTTCGCCGGGCCGGGCCCCGAATCTTTAACAGACAGACGCCTCACGGGTAGCCGGAACGGCTCTTGATAGGCTTCACCGCCGTCTCCCTTTATTATCATGCTCCCCTTCCCCGGGCCTCATATGGGTTCAGTAGCAACGTGAGCCTTTTCTGCCTGTCCGTAAACAAGGGGCGTCATTTTCTTTCATTCCCGATTCCAGAGAGCATTCGGTAGATATCTAATCAGTTGCTGACTGCTTGCTCAACCCGAAAGTAGCCAAGCCCGGCACGCAGCTGCTGGAGGACGACTGCCGTCACATGCTTGTGACATAACCGCGCGCGAGTGAGACCGGGGTAAAGAAGAGACGGGTACGTGCAGCAGAGAGGGGAATGAACAAGCTACTTTCGACTCTGGACGAGGGCCAGCTAGGACGGGCCGCCACACGCTTTCACTTTTTTTTATCGCTCTTGCCACGATGACAGTCGGGTCGTTCCCGGTGCTACGTGGTTCTGCATATAATCTTTCTAGACGTCTTGAAGAGGGGCAGGGCACCCACTTGCGCCCCAGCGTAGTATCTCGGAGTTTGGCCTCTCATTCGACCAAGAGGCAGCGAACATGTAAAAAGAACGACAGCCCGTCATGATAATTCGTGTAGGCCAATACTGTTTCACTCCGTTCCCGACGAGGAGGGTTTGTATCCTCACGACAAAGGATACTCGCCGTCGTCATCGCTCTCACTGCCAAACACTTGCTTGACGCCCCTCCCCCTCCCGGCATCCGTCCTCGACCTTGCTTGTGCTCCTTGATTCTGGTCCTGATTTTTCAGCTGCCGTTATCCAAGGACGAGCCATGACAAATGTCGAAATTGACTCTGTTCCAGTAATCATCCCCATACGCACCCTGGGTCCTTTCCAGACATACCAAGCAAGCACTGACGAGCTTTCTAGAACGTCAATCTGCTCATGTGAGGCTGCCTCTGCAGCACGCCCGAACAGATGTCCCGGATTCTAGTGGACATCCCCGTCCCATACCAAAGACCTGAGCGCGGCTAACTGCATCGGATTGCCTTCACCGTTGCCGCTCCCGGGTTCGAGGGCCACGAGGAGCCGCAAGCCGCGAACTGGTTCGGGCCGCATCTTCCCCTATCCCAACATCATCTCGGCTATCGGCAGCAATGGCACGCTTGCGTAGCCGACCTGGATCACATATGGGGATAGTAACGTGTATCAACTGCCTCAAGCTCGGCCTCATATCAAGATCGCCAACTTGTGTCTTGTTTATCTCATCGTAGTGAAGCCATCTCACGGTGCCTGACGGCGCCGTGCTGGCGTCGATCGCTCAGCAAAAAGTCGCCGTCGCTGCCACGTTCCGCATTTCCTGTATTGTTCCACCTCATACGCTCGAGGGACAATCTCGGCTGTAAGCCAGACACAATTCGTGGACACTGGTCTTAGGGTCGCTATTCAACGTGTAACCAGGCAGAATTTGTTGCCTAGTCAAAATATTCAACGACGTCGCTATCTGTGAGGAGCAATAGCACTTGCGGCTCTCTGGTCGTACTTTGGTTTGTTGTTACCTCCCTTCTCACTTGTCATCGAGGACGCGCAGTATGGGTTGACTGTCGTCTGTTGCACATCTGCTATTGCCCGCCGCTGGGCACTCGCGCCGTACTTGGGCTCGAAAGAACATTGCGGCATTCATTCCTCAAATTATTCGGCCTTCCAGCCGCCCAAAGAGATGCGTCTGCAGGGTCTGCTCAGGTCGCTAGGGGCAGCCAGCCAATCTTTGGCAACAGGTTTGCTCCGGCAAGTCCATCTCGTACCAGGAAGGTGCTTGCGAGGACGCCCCGTGGAGATGGAACACATGGCCACTTGCTAGTGTCTCTTTTCATGCGGGTGATGGTCGCGGCCACCTACTCGACGTGAAGAAAGTATCTACAAGGTAGTATTCAAGAATCTTCGCACCGAGTCCGCAGATCTAGATTCTTCTCCGGGGTCCACGATATGCCACCTGCCCCTCCAGGCCCGATAGGGTAAGGACGTCGAGATTTTGAGGACGATTGACCGAGGCCTTCGCCAGTAACCATCGTCAGCGCCAGTGTCGGTTGCGGGGAAAGTGGCGAGTGTGGAAATGTCCTACGATGATCATGAGGATAATCCCGAGGCGAACAGGGCTCGAGATAGTGCGAGAAGAATCGAGTTAGGAAAAAGAAGGGCGTCGGGTCACTTGACCATCACGCCCATGTCTTCGGAGGGGCCTACTGGGTGCCCGCCTATCCTGCCGTACTTTCGAGACCCGAATCAGTCGGGCCCCATGACTGTCAATCCCTTGGGTTGCAGGAGATGGACCGCGGTAGAGCTCGAGGCGAACTCTTCGAAGTCCGCCCAATCAGTTGCGAAAGGTAAAAAAGAGTCCCATTAGAGGCATGACTCACCTGAGGCAAACACATTCCACCTCTAGGCATATCAACTGGAGCCGCATCAGAGCCGCACTGTAACTCAAGTCGCCACCGGTAGTTGATGATTCGTTTTGAGCGTGATCTTGCCGCCTTGTGAAGCGTCTTGGTGGAATCCGGCTCAGGAATCATGTCGTAGGCTTGCGGGACGGCGGACAGGAAGGTTGTATACAAACACAGCCCTAGGAACAGTCGTCCGATCGACCTCGACAAGCATGCCGGATGATGGCATGGAGGTCACCCTGCATGGCGCCGAGTGCGCCTCTAAGGCCGAGTGCTTCCGGTGCCAGCCAAGAACAATGTCTTGTTGATGGGTCGTCGATTTCCCCCAGCTGACAGAACCTTTCGCATTTGTGCGAGGGTTTGGCCCTGGGTGTCGTACCGCTGTATGTGCATCACCAGCAGAGACCGATTCTCGGCCGCACCAATACCTATCCCCACCCTCTCTCTCTCTCTCTCTCTCTCTCGGAAGCGTACCGGCCTCTAATGCCCAGGTCTACTGAGCACATTCCGTGGGAAACTTTCAGAGACCGTTGAGAAACGTCCGGAACTGGAGGCAAAGACGATAGCTCATATTCATGACTGCCAAATGGATGAGGTCGCATCGACCCTTGGTCCTTGTGCCCTGCGAGACATGCATTAGACGTCGGACAACTCATAAACGCTGCGAATATGCACCTTGCGTGTTCTGGAGCAGCAAACAACCGAGTTCACCATGACAAAGCGGTGGGAACAGAAAGGAATTACTTACATCGTACAGGAGTATTTCCTTGGCCACTGCGTGCCTACGTAGCGTCTGTGGTTCGCCAGGCACGGTTGGTCCTGCAATAGCAGTATTCTATCCCAATAGCAGAACGGGACTGCATGAGACTGGGAGGAGTGATGCACATCATCCAAGATCAACCACCCCGGAAAGTGCTGCCTGCTTCCCCGGGACACACTTCCCGCACAATTCCACCCTGACCACCATGCGCTGTCATCAGGGCCTGGATCCATCGTAGGCCGCATGGGTGCATAGCCCATCCGAATGGGGAAGTGAGGCCTGTCCGGCTTCCCGCGAGAACGATGCTGTGAGCGCGCTCTGCGGCACCCAAGAAACTGGGGCCTGACGTACGATGACGGACAAAATGGTGGAATGGATTTACATATGCCGCGGGGGTCAGGAGGACTGGGTAGGGATGACGGTGGTCGTCGCATAACAAAGCTGTGAGATATCAAAGTAAGCAGGTCGAGTACGAGGAGTGCATGACTCTCCAGCTTTTGGCTGTCGAAGGAGTGTCCGGAATGACCGCGCTTCACGATCATTAATAGCAATCCCAGCGGCCATCTACTCAACCGGTTGAAATGTCGAGCCGGTGCCAAAATTTATATCAACGTAAGTGCTTGTGAAGCTCGCGGAAGTGACTCTCCCTTAGATGCTACTCTTCAACGATTATGCTATCACAGGTATCCGGTAGACTGGAAGCGGCTGGAGCGTCTCTTGACGAGGAGGGGAGGGGGTGGCGGCGTTCTAGGCTCTTTGCTCTCGCTTCTTGGCCTTGGTGCTGGCGAATGCCGGCCTGCAGCGCGTCGGGTCTGCCGGCGCAATTTGCCCGCAGTTCCGACATTGGCAACCGAAACGGTTGGCTATGCAGTCTGTATCAGCAATGACCTGCCTGGCAATCAGGTAGATTACACTGCATCGTGCAGGGACCTGACAATGTGGAGTCGACGAGCAGCTGAGATGTGAGGAGGAGCTCATGGTAGCACTGTTTATGTCTTTCTTTGGTGTTGGTCGCATCAGATCACGATCTGTTCAAACCACAGGGTGCCCTCGGACCCCATGAACCATTGTAAATCCCAGGGGTTGGCTCGTGCGAAGACTTGATCGATTCGTATTGTGGCTGAGGGGCTGGTACGAGAAGGCCGTCAGCATCGTAAGAATGTACGTGTATACATGTGGAACTAGGGTGGCATTTCACCTGCAACTAACTATACCACCCACTCTTGACAGATCACAATGTGACAGAAAGCTGTCTCGTCTGAGTACGGAATGGGGTCGCTGGGCAATAATAGTGTGCATATTTCATGCCGCAATCCCATGCAGAGTTTTCCAAGTGGGCTCAAGCTTCATTGTTTGCCCTGTCTCTTTCTTTCTCTCTCTCTCTCTCTCTCTCTCTGTCTCCTTCTTTCCAGTGTGCCAGAGTATGATGTGGGTGCAGGCAAGGCAGTGGGCCCCGAAGAAACATCCGACGGAACAGAGCAAGTAGTGAGCGTTTGTCACCTCCATCCACCATGTAACATCCACCATCAAATCCCGAAGTGGGCTTGTACGGCTCAAAACTTGATTGTTCACAAAGCTTGCTCTCACAGCAAGAGTGCATAGCACCATGCATAATGTGACTTTGCTGTATGTGTGGGTTCATCGACCAGAGAGCTTCCGTGAGAATTGACTGTAGTTGCAAAGTGTTCGCTGGGTAGAAGGCTCTTAAAACGCCCGAACTGGCAACGCTCAAAGTCTGCTCCGTGTTGAAGGCCCGTGTGTCATCCGAACGACGGCCGTGTCATTCTTCAAGCAGTCCCGGAGAAGTGCATGGGTTGTGTCCGAAGAAGCTAAAGCAGTCTGGGGAGATCCCTGGCTGTCTGCCTGCCCCAGAGTATCAGTCGCGATTTGCGCCCTAAATAGACAAGCGAAGGAGACGATCTTCTGCCACAGGCATAGCGTCTTCACAAGTCTCGACCCTGATAAATTGGCAGCATGCATGGGATCCGATAATGATGTGAATAACATACCACGCAAGGACCACTGCGGCCTAACCGTTGCCCTTCCGTCCATGGCGCCAACACACGTCTCGAAGAATGGTGAGGCGATGCCGCATGTACTGTTCCGCGATCACCGTGGTCGAGCAAGGGAAAACAGAATAGGTGACCTGGTGAGCCAGACCAAGAGCAGAGAGTCGACTCTGTCAGGGACTGAATCTTGTATAGCAGGAAGCACGGCCGTTGGGAGGAAAGATAGCGAGGCTGGGTGGGCGAGTGGGCGATTGGAGAGGGGCTGATGCATGTAGGTATTGATGTAGGTATCCCTCGTTGTTCACAAACGTGTTGCATGCCTCAACAACGGAGGTCTCGCTACGGCTCGAGACCACGGGAACGTGGGTGAGGAGCGTGTCCTGCGACCGGCCAGAGTAGCGTGTTGCTCACAGTTGCACAGAGGGCCATGACTCGTTGTAGCCACTGAGCTCCGAGTTGTTTGCTTGATGGATTTCTTTTTGTGTCAAGTTATGTACTGTTGAGCGAACTGGGCCAGCGGCCGGCCACCTGCTGCATGATGGGTCATCTCCTGCTGTGATAAGAGCCAATGCATCCGTAATTTGTTGGATATCAAGCGACGCGGGCATTCGACTAGAGCAACACCGCAGCCGTGACTACTAGGTATGGCAATCGGCAAGTGCCTGCACCGCCACGCACATTCGCCCTAGTCTCTTTGGTTCAGAGGAAGACAATGGAAGGACATGGTTTCGGGCATTACTTCGGGTTTATTTGTCCTCCTGAAATGCAGTCAAGGGATGCAGAGGGCCATGGTTGTGGTAGCGCTGTCGCTGGCGCTAGACGTCTCGCATGGTGCCGTAACAGATGCCGAGGTTTTGCGTCCATTGGCCCGGTAGAGTGTCCATTGCATAGACGGTTGCTGAGAGGACAACACCGGAAAGGAGCGCGAGCCGTCGATAGAACCAAAGGCATTGGACGCCGGAATGCAGCTGGGAAAATGGTGGAATCAGATGCCAGCTAAGGCGTTTTGGTAGCCAAATAGCATCTTACCAGTGCGTGCGGCGAGCCAAAGAAACTGCGGTGCAATGCCAAGCTAACGTTGAAGTTCCCTGCGACGGTGATCTGTTGTGAGCTTTAGCAGGTTCCCAATGGGGCCAGATGCAGCGCACCCTGCCCTGACCCCACGCTGGTTGGTGGTGAATGTCGGATGGACGTAATTTTTGCGAGAATAGCACATCAAGGTACTTTGTAAGCACACGCCCAAGCAAGCCAGCCGTCAGCAGCCCTAAGGCACGGCGGAGTATGCTGCTTTGGAATAGCCGTAATTGTCGAGTGAAGAGAAAGACGCGTCGTGGCATGGCATTATCGACGCAAGCAGGCAAGCCATGGTTCTCAACGATGCATCTACCTATGTTCCGTGGTGTGGAGTATTGTCGCATCACCCGTGTTCTGCGACGTGAAGCGGACATTTCGCCGACAAGCATTCGTCACAGATGGGCTAGCTCACCGACGACAGTTGGGACGCTCTGGGGTTGTTTTTTTCCGAGGACCATGCCGGCGAACGGCGTATGCGGCCCTCACGTTCCATTGCGTACGGGAGAAGTGGCCGAGAGGCAGGGCAAGATCTGGGAATTGGGCTAGCGACCAGATGCTGGAAATCCAAGTTGAGCTGCGAGGTTGAGGACACCCTTGTCCAATACGTCTATATCTCGGGAGGACGTGATCGGGTACGTCTTTTGAGATGCCGACATAGGTAGGTCGGTAGATGTGGATGGACTAGTTGGCAACTGGCGCGGATGGAATTTGGCGTTGAGAGAAGGAGAAGCGGCTAGGAACTTGAGGGCCAGCAAGAAGTAAGCGAGGTGGCTGACGAAGATGCAGACAGCTGACTCGTGATGAGATGAAGTGCTGTTGATGGGAGAAGGTAGATGCGGGAATGGAAGACGGAATCAATGGGGTCGACAGCAGGCTGCGAATGACTGGAGAGAATGGCAAGGAAGGAACGGGCTGTCGGTGGACCAGGTAAAAAAATGTGAGAGGCAAGGTGAAGAATAATCCCTACTTGGCTTTGATCGCAAAGGTAAGGGGAAGGTGTGAGGTGATGCGTACTTTCCCTTGAAATCTACAGATTGCTGGTGGTGGAGGCGAGCGATGAATGGGCTGGGCGAGGAAGAGCGCACACGCGTGCGTGTACACACCCATACACCCACCCATACACACCCTTCCGCCATACAACCATCATCTAGCCTCATGCCTTCCATCACCGGGTTTTCTCAAGACGACCGACTTGCCCTCCCGAGTCAACTACCAACTTGCCTCACGTCACATTCGTCCATGTTTCGTCCAAGCCTAGTCATGAATGGGTCGACGCCATGGCAAGCAAGCTCTTCTCGCCCTCTATCTCATGCTAAAATAGGTGGGCTGAGACATGATCCGGCAGGTGTCGCTCCAATGAGGTATCCATATCAACTGGGTGTTCTATTGTGTCAGTAAGTGGTGCACCAGTCACAGGGATAGCACCCTTTTTCTCAAAAGTCATAGAATAAAAATACCCTCACCCGTGGTTCCGAAGGGGCATGCTAATATCGATACTAGATCAACCCCAACCATCCGTCCTGAAGGAATGACTCTCCGTCGCTCCGTATCTACCCCCCAACTACGGCTTGAGATCGACCTGGCCAAGGTGTTGTTGACATTTCCATCCATCCATGTGCCACTCGGATTGCCTTTTCTAAACCCGGACCCCAATATCGTCCGGCATCTGATCATACCACGTACCCTACACTGCGAGATGCACCGCCTACAGAACGGCTTCGCGCACCTTAATGTGGCAATCCGCGGTTCCGATCCGATCCCCCCCATCAGCCCCGTACAATATTCCGTCGCGAATACCCATCTTCTCTAGGGAAAAGTTACGACGTCTTCCCGTCCAGATACGGCAAGGCGCCGCCCTGTCTTCTTCGGCTCGTGTTCAATCGAGATCATGACAGGCCTACAGCGTCCCCGTCCCGTCGTCCCACACTACACCAAACCCATCCATCCACACATCCTGCACCGTCCTGGTCGGCTCCTAAAAACACCACGCAAGTGCTTTCTGATGTCAGGCCCAGGACTGTTTGGGAAGGGTTGATCGCCATCTTACGCAAGTGTAGACCGTTCACACACACACGCACACACACACACACATTTGAATAAACCTCTTTTCCTTCTCAGGTTGACGGCTTCATGGCTTGCAGCCTACAGAACGTACCAGCTCGATGTGGTCACTTGGCGGGAGGTGCGGAAATAGGGGAGGGTCCCCGAGATGACGGCCGACACAAGCCAGACGCAGCATCGCATACTAATTACATCCTGGCGTCTCTTTGCTCATTCTGCTCGTAAAGCAACCTTCGTATGCTACATAACTTCCATGCTTCACGCATTGGATTCCCGGACGTGCTGCGTGCTCACTCTCGGCCGGCACGGGAGGAGTCATGAATGGGTGTGCCCCCAAGAGTCTGTGCATCTTACCCGGCCCGGTATTTGGCGAGAAGCAACCTCGGACACCTGGAGTAAAGACGGGACGCGGACGGCGGGCTTGATGATTGATGGGGACCATCTACGTAATCCCCACCCCCTAGCGCTCGCTCCGCAACTCAGCGGCGTCCTGCTGCAAAAGACAACGGCAGCATGGGGCCTGAGTGGTTCTTCGCTTGTTCGCACCGGACAGTTCATTCAACCCCAACGAAGGCAATCTACAGGCCACGGAGATATTCGCGCCTCCTTGCGAGAACTAACCGCGGGGCCGTAATCATCACGAAAATGGAAACCGCACCGGCCAAGTTGGGCAAGGATCAGAAGCATCATGGACCGTCAACCCTGTCGGGCCAGTCGTCGCAATATGGCAGGTCAGACTGAATAATGCAAGTGCAGAGGCGACATCAGTGCGTCTGTCACTCCTCTGTTCACACGGCTCACTCATCAGATATCAGAATCGCCCGGGCATACAATGGTGCTCCGAGCAGCAGTAGCCAAGCAGCCTGGCGTCACCCATCGTTCAGGCGTGCTGCGTGCACACACACACACACACATACACACCCTCCTCTTCGTGCTGTTGACCACCAGTGGACGAGTGGAGAGACGGGAAGGCAGGCTGGAGAGGGACTAGGGAAGAGGCAGGCAGAGACGAGCAAGCGATATGCTCGAAGGATCCGTCGAGGGACCTGCAGGTCCGAAAGATAAGTTGTGCTCCGTATTATTCACGAAACCCCTCAGCAAACGGCAGAACCAGAGCAACAAAAACCGTAGCGTCCGCAGCCAGAGCTGACCCTCTTCTAGCCTGGCTGCGTATGCTTGTCCAAGTCTGGTCTGGTCTCTGCTTGATAATGGGTCAGGCAAAAGACGAGTCCCCATAATAAGCAGCATGAATGCTTGTTCATCCGCTCGATTCAACTCCACGACGGCCATCCGTTTGTTAGATGGGAAAACCGGGGACTTAGTTGACAACGGCCCAGGCCATGCCAGGCAGGGTCTCTCGTCCGTTAGTGGGTGTCGACTGCGCCGACTCTTTTTCTTCGTTCTTTTTTTTTTTTTCGTCCTCCATACCTAGCGACCAGAGGCAGCTGTTCTCCAATTTAACAGGATTCTACCCCTCCTGGGTTTGCGAGAGCCTGCGGCCAAGGTACCACTCACTCCCTTGTCATTGCTGCTGTTTCTGATTAGACCTGCTGCCGTCAAACCCCATCTTCTTGTCTCCTGTTTGGTTTCGTCTCTCTTGCTTTTTCGCTGCGTTGGAGAGAATCTCGAATTCGCCGGGCCGTCCAATCGACCTCGCCTGGACTTTTCCCACCAAGCTAGCCCTTGTCGCCCTCTCTCGGCTGCGACTCTCCAAGGCAAGACCATTGACGGAAAGGCTCTGCTCCTGGTCCTTGTCGCTTAGCAGCTCCTCAAGGACCTGCCTCCGATTCTCCCCACCTTTTGTCTCTGGATGTGCAGATGCCCGGTTGTACTCAAACGAATGATGGAATCCGCCCACCCCAAGCAGTGGACCTCCAAATCTCACCGTGCTGCCATTTTCCACATCAACTAGCCGCTTAACCATGGAGAATGGAGAAGGTTGACCAACCAAGGCAAAAAGACCCTCCCTGGTGCACGCAGGGTATGGCGTTATTCGCGCGCTACACTAGGCTCTTGCAAGTATCACCCATCCAACGAAAAGGACGGGGAAAAGGTGCTAGCCTCTCTCGTCGCTTTTCGTCGCCTCTCAGGTTTGTGCTTCTGCTCCTCCCCCCTTTCCCTGCGCTGTCCTCCGAGCCGCGCCCTCAGAAATCCAGCCTCCACAGGCTGCGGTCGCTTCTTTCCCCTCCCCACCAGGCCGACTCCGCCTTGTGATTCGCCTTTCTCCATTCGCCGTCCACAGCGCAATGGGGCCAAGAAGAGGAAGAAGGGGCAGAGAGCAGGGACCGGTATCCGTATCTCCAGCCGCCTCCGACTGACTGCTTGTGTGCTGTCGTGTCGTTTCGATTCAAGGGTCGAGGTTCGAGAGACCTTGACTATCGTGGTCCATGGTCCGTGGTCCGGGGTCCGGACAGTGTTCCATGGTTGACTCCAGGCCCGATCCAAGAAAGTTGGTGGCGTGAAGGAGAAGTCAGGGTAGAGGAGCCCTCTAGCCTGTTTAATTTCTATTGCCTTCGTCGAGGGCGTGCCGACGGCCGCGAACATATTGGACAGATGGGAAACGATGCGGCAAGAAGTGATGCGAGAACATATCGCGGCGCTAGTCGTCGCAAGTGCTGATGCCAGGCCGATGAGATGCGCCTACGGGAGACACTGATTGATCTATCTATCCATAGCAGGCTATCTCTATCTGGCTGCTTGCTAAAGAAGCGTCGTCCCAACACGGAGCCACAAAAACGCCAGCCTCTGGATCCCATCCACACCCACCTCAGCCCGCCCATGTCTAGCCGGTCGCCAATCCAGCCCATCTTTAGAGACAAGAGGCAGCAGACGCAGACGCAACGGCGGCGGCAGACGCAGCCTGGGAGCCACAGGCGACAGGCAAGCAGAGGCAGGCAGGGTGGGCAACGCAGCAAAGAGTGGGCGAGAAGGACTGAGAGAGAAAGGTACTTGTAGCATGCCGGTGGATTCTTCCCCTTCAAGTACGCACAAGTACCGCCCTTGTACTGCTCTCGGAGCACTGGCTGGGGTATCTGTAGAAGAGGTCGGATTAACGCCTCTTTGCCTCATGTACTCTTGTTTTTCTGCAACTACCTAGCACACACCCACACGCCCCCCCTCCTTCTTCCCCTCTCCGACCCCGATACAACCGCCGACCACCCCTACCATCCGCCCCTCCCCCCTCCCCTCTCGTCTGCCCCAATACCCTTACAGATGAACGTGATGCATGTATGCGTATCTGCGAGAGTGTGGTGTAGCTAAGAAAGCGCACAGAGCAAGCAAGCAGGTGCCAGTCTAGACAAGGTACCTTCATGACCCGTCGGCTTGCTTTCTTGCACCACAATCTTAGATCAAGACCTTCGTAGTGTACACCCATTACGGATACATTTACAGCAGACACATCCCATACCCATCAAGTACTTTTTTTTTTTTTCCTTGCCTTGTTTGGATGGAGCCACCATTACCGTCTTCATGCATGGACACATCTCTAAACTACCTAAACAATCCATGCATGCCTGCCAACCCTCCACCACCACATCTGCGTATATATCCTTGTCCCTCGCCCCGGGACTAATCGTCTCACCTCGAACGACTTCATCATCACTTTTTCTCTTGGGTCACAGTTGTTTTTTTAAAAGACCAATTGGTCCGCGCAATGGCTTGAGTTCCCATTGTCGTCTTTCCTCTCTGTATAATACCTTGTTTGACCCCTCCTCCTCGGCCATCCTCCCCCTTCCAACATCCCATACACGCGGCCTGGGTGTTGGTCTTCCCTCTTGCCCGTGTCACTCTTTGATACCACACACACAACGACGGACGCAGACAAGGCGCTCTGGCAGTCTTGTCCACTACCTCGATCGTTAAGGTCCTTCTAGATAGGAAGAAGAGACTTGAGGATAGAGAGGGAAAAAGAAGCTTTGGAAGCAGCACGACGACACACGCACACCCCTCCCCCTCCCCACACACGCATCCTTCTCATCGAGCCCACGTTCTCGGGAGTCTCGACAGCCATCCTGTAATACTCTTGCCCTACGAGCGTAATACCTTGGGGATAGCAGAGCAGTTATTTGGAGACGCCGTCCACAACTCTTACTTCTAATTCACCTTTCCGGTACCGTCTTGAGACCTACTGGGGGCTTTTTCTTTTTCTTCTCCTTCTGGGCTGCCGCATTTCCGCAGTCGAGCCAAAGTGGAGCCATTTCATCTGGAATCAACATCAGATATCAAGAACGGCAGGAAGTCACCGAGCTCCTCCAAGATTCACCGGGTCGACCTCTTCGCACAAGAAAGGAAGGCACGCTAAGGACCAGCAGTCCATTTGCCACCTCTCTCGGATCCAACCTCGTCCTCAAAACCCTTCTCGACCACCACTGCCAACTTCACCCCGCGAATTCTTGCTTGTGGCCTCGTTGGGTTTTCCTCCTCACTCTCCAGCATATCACGATCCCGCCACTCCTCGGAACGTCTCATACATACACACCCACACCGAGGCAAAACTCGCAGAATTGCATCATTATGGCGGCGGTCATGGATCTCTTTTGGCCTCATATCGGCTTTGGCTGGTCTCCCAGCACCTGGATGTACCTCTTCATTCTCCTTTGGTAAGTTACAACCACCATCGAAGAGTTTCCTCTTGCACTGCTATTTCACATATAAAGAAGAAAAAAAACCAAATTACCTCTCTTCTCGTGATTCTTCATGCCGCCAATGTCTAACACACTTGCCCAGGCTTCATCGATACACCCGTCTGCTCGCCAACTGTGTCAGTCACTGGGTCTACAAGTCCAAGCCAATCCCAGTCAAGCCAACCTTCACTGCCGACGACGTTACTGTCATCATTCCCACGATCCACAACGTCTTTGAGGAGCTTCGTCCTTCTCTTCTCAGCATCATCTCCTGCAACCCCCAGGTCCTGATGCTCGTCACCACCACTGAGAAGCATGCTGCCCTGGAGAAGCTCGCTAGAAGCCTCCCTCATGCCAACGTTCAAGTCTACTCTACCCCGATCGCCAACAAGCGCCTTCAGGTTTGCGAGGCCTTGCCCAAGGTTACCACGAAGATCACCATCATGGCCGACGACGATGTCACTTGGCCTTCCACCCTGATGCCATGGATCCTCGCTCCCTTCGAGGACCCCAAGATTGGCGGCGTCGGCACTTGCCAGAGAGTTAAGCGCGTCTGGGATGGCCCGCTGTCCACTCGTATCTTCAACTGGCTCGGCGCTGCTTACATCGAGAGACGAAACTTCGAGATCTCTGCTACCCACAACATCGACGGTGGTACTTCCTGCATGTCTGGCAGAACCGGCGCCTACCGCTCCGAGATCCTCTCTAGCCACGACTTCCTCGAGGGCTTTAAGACTGAGAAGTGGGGCAAGTACATTCTCAATGCCGACGATGACAACTTCGTCACCCGCTGGCTTGTCAGCCATCAGTGGAAGACCTGGATTCAGTACGAGAAAGAGTGTGAGCTCGAGACCACCCTCGAGAACAGCACCAAGTTCCTTTACCAGTGCTCTCGATGGGCTCGCAGCAACTGGCGCAGCAATTGGACCAGTCTCGTCCGCGAGAGATACGTTCTTACGTGAGTATATACCCTTCCCTCTTATCCTCTGCCACTTCTTGGCGCTTGACTAGCAACAGGGAAGATACTAACCTATGACAAACAGTCAGCAACCCTGGTGCACTTACGCTCTCCACATTGCGACCTTCACCTCCTTGGCCTTCCTCTTCGACCCCCTCATCATCCTGGCTCTTTGGAAGGGCACTGCTGAGTGGGACCTGGAGAGCCGCCAACAGGCGCTCTGGGCCCAGATCATTTTTGTCTTCGGCTTCACCAAGGTCGTCAAGCTCATGGGTCTCTTCCGTCGCAACCCAAGCGACATCATCTTCCTGCCCGTGTCCATCCTTTTCGGCTATGCCCATGGCATCATCAAGCTCTACGCCTTGTCCACCCTGAAGATGGTGAGTGACTGGTTTTGGCTCAATTATCGTTATTTTCCCTGGAATCAAGCTAACACTTTGGCAGACTTCCTGGGGCAGCAGAGCTGACGGTGACACCAACGACGACATCCGTCTCACGCCTCGTCCCAAGCGAGCCATGAGCCTGACCACACCTCCCGGTGGCCAGGACCTCGTCCGCTACCGCCATGAGCGCCAGATGACGGAGAAGGTTGCCGACTGGCACCGCCCTGCCACTGAGTCGTGCAGACCTCAGACTGTTCGGATGAACACATTCCCCGCCAAGGACTTCAGGGCTCCGCACATCACCTTCTCGCTTCTGGAGCATCCCTCGGACTAAGATCCAGAGTGGCCGGAACTTACGAATTATGAAACTGCAACGAACGAAATCATTGCCAGAGGTGAAACAGAACTCTGGCCGGGTGGTATCCTTGCTTCCCCTTTGAAGGGAGATGGAGGGATTTTGTTTAGTCGTTAGCCAACATTTTCGGCTATGACCATCGTCTTCACATTTCGGCTTTTCTTTCCCTCGGAAGAAAAAAAAATCAACCAACATGGATTTTGAGGCGAGAAAAAGTTTTGCTGTTGTTCTTTGATCCTCTTCACGAAGGATACATGCGATCGCATATGGGAACCGGAATCACAGCGCGACAGAGCATGTGCATGCGTGTGTCAGATTATAATTATCAATGGCATCAAATCGACATCATGGGCTAGGAGGAACGAGTGGGTTGGTCATTTGCTTTCAGGGATACATTCCCTCTGGATTCCGCCTGAGTATCTTTTCTCTCCTTTTTTTCTTCTTCTATCCAAAACCCCCCCCCCAAAATGGAGATGGTAGGATCGTTTGGTTCCCGAGAAAAAAGAACAAACCGGGAAGGGCATCGCGCGGCAGGCAGGCAAGCTCGTTTTTGTTTTCTTATTCCCAACATGGTTACCCCAAAGAGCGGCGGCAGTCCATTTCTGAGCCATTGCGAGGCATTGGTAGAAGGAAGAGGGAAGGGAGGGAGGTCGCAGCATTAGACAGTTGATCTCTATACCACTATTACATGTTCTTTCCACTCAGACAAAGAAAACGGGCTTTCCATAGAATGAAGAAAAGAAAGCATATTTCCCACGAGAATAAAAAAAAAACATAGAACATAGACATGGTCTGTGATATTGGCTTGGCAGTTCACAAACCAGATCTTGATGAGGCTCGTGATGGCGAAGGTTCCGTGTCTGACGCTTTTATTTGGACGGAATTTTGATCACAGACTGTGACTGTCCGCAACGACAGGGCTGCAGGAAGGGTATCTTCACGAAGAAACCAACTAGGTACCTAACGAGCCAATGGGAACAAACCGGCCCTGCGTTTAAACAAATCGGGGGATCGACTGCTTCGATCGTCCCAGGGGGGGAGGAGGAGTGTTCCGATGGAAAAGAAGAAATAAGCAGCAGGCAAACAAACAAGCAGAACACACATGGTCGCGTGGCCTTGTCCGTTACACAGCAGGTGACGGGCCTGCGTTCTCGTATTCCATCGACGTTGGCCCCCCCCTCCCCTCTCCAATAAACGGTTTCCGGGGAACCCGCGATATCTGACATCGCCTCTTCGCGTGTGCTTCCTGCTCCCGAGGGCTGGCGCGCGCTGGTTACACGACAGAGCCAAGGATGCGAAGGAGTCTTGCTGTCATTAATTCTCCGGCGGACTGGGCTGGGCCTTTCTTGAGGGGCGCTTTTCATTGGGGGCCATGAGAGAGTGGGAGAGAGAGAGGGGGGAGAGAGGGGGGAAAGAGAAAGAGAGAGGGAGGGAGGGAGAGGCTGTGTCATGTTCATGCGCCTCGTGGTGTTGTGTCTTACATGACGTCCTCTAGGCTTGGTGGGGTTTCTCCAGAGAGGAGAAGCGTGCCAGGCAGGGACGGAGACGAGCACGCCGTATTGCAAATCTTAAACAACCACCCGTGGGCGGGGGAGATGAGAACAGACGCTTCTGCATCTCGTCGCTGTAGTGGTGGTGGTTTCTTGCTCCATCCAGAGCTTTAGGCAATGTCCATGTGCTACCGTAGTACTCTCCTACTATGTTGCACACGCCCCCTCTTGTCTCACGAGTGGCCCGTGAGAGTATGGGCCGATCAGTCTCGTGAGAGGATGTATATGTGCGTAAATTTTCCGTAGTGGCAGTGGTGTTGGTGGCCGCGGCGCCGGCTGTCGTCGTCTCCGGAGAGAAGGGCTTCACACCCACCATGACCACCAGAGAGCTACACCCTCCTCCATCCCTACTAGTTCATCGAACGGTTCGAGACTTATCTCAATCAGGACGGCTAGGAAGACGAACTAAGATATCCGAGGTCCCCACACTCAACGGGGGGGTAACAAGGTAGGTAGGAGATGGGTTGGGTATACGCAAACCCCCACAAGGGCATAATCTTCGAATCGAAGATGGGCGACGTCGAAGGAGTTCTGAAGCGTATTCGTGCCAGTGGTTGCCTCGAGCGTGAAGTCGAGTTGTGATGAGTGGTGGATGAGTAAGACACGAAGGCCATCTCTCAGGACCCAATCAGGGCGTACGGACTTGAGCTACAAGGTCGACAGGTGGGATTGGCAGCCTCCTCATTGGATTGGGGGATCATGACCTGTGGCCTTGTTTACGTTATCTGACAGCCCACCATCGTGTGCCCGCCCCATGCTTGATTCGAGGCCTAGCAGGCTGCCCCTCCCCCTCCCCCTCCCTTCCTCTCGAATCCCTGGCCTTGTCGATGCTGCAAGTTGACAGAAAGAGTGTCCCTGATGACATAGTTGAGCCTATATACGGATCTCATGGCGTTTCGCACTGGACGAGGTTACGACAGATCTTTGTTCTAGACTCCTCTTGTATGGGGCACAAGGTAGTACAAGTATACTCGAGTACCTATGCTTGACACCCACACGTAGGGATGGGGTCCGTAACGTGCAGAGATGCACGACATCTTATGCGTGCTTCGAGACGTCAAGCCTGCCTAATAGGTACTGGAAGAAGGAGCAAGGTCAATGTGGAGACTGTAAGAAAAGCACTCACCAAGGCGCCTCCAAGTGTCTGACTGCGTTGGAATGCCGAACATGACAGAAGCTGACATGATGAGACATCGCCGGATGTTGCAGATGTTGGAACACTAGTGGGCTGCTGAATGCTGGGCGCAAAAGTATCGCGGTATTGAAATTATGTGAGTCGCAGTGGAAGCGGCAGTTGCGAGAGATGCGCTGATCGCATGGGAACGTAGGTTTTCTGGCCAACCAACGTCGGAAGCGTAAAAATAAAAGAGAAAAAAAAAATATTGACGAGAGGCAACGAGCCAACGAAGAGGTGTGATTAGGATTGACAAATGACTTGTGCGAGAGCATGCTGCAAAGAGGGAAATATTTGCCAAAGGTTCCAGAAATAGAGAGAGAGGAGTCTTGTTGACCCGCCGGTACCTTTTCTCTCAGTGAGGGTGCCACTCACTCTCTGCAGCTGCAGCAGGAGGTAACGGCGAGCGAACCAATGCGACGGCACGAGTCAAGACGCATTGAGTATGTATGCCGGGAGGGACGGAGGGACGGAGGGACGGAGAGAGATGCCGTAAGTTGAGGTGACGGGCAGGGAGGGAGAAGATAGATCGGGCGAACGGACCTTGTGACAAGCGGCAACAGCACGAGGAAAAGTCTAGTCTGGCGGTAAATGCGACGGCGATGAGGATAAGACGATTCATAAGCCTCTTTCGCGTCTAGTGGCGGCGGTCGTGTCTGTCTGTGTGGCCTGCCTGGGCGGTTCTGGGGAGCAGTGGGCAGGAAGAGGAAATGGACGTGCGACGACGATAAACTGCGGCAGCCATTGGCAAGGCACGGATAGCATGGCACGACGGCGGCAGGCTGCTGGAGGTCCAATGGAACAATGGGGGCCACACACACCCCGCGCGCGCACGGCCGCTGACATGTCATTAGTGGTTGTGGCATGCGCTTTGGTCTTCCGCAACGTCGAGTTGAGGTGGTGTACATAGGTACATACCTGTAGTATCTACACTAGGAGGCAGGCAGGTGGCGGGTGCAATGCAGATGCCCGTGACGATCTGGGTGGAGGTAGGGGAGTCTCGGATTGTACAGAGTATGTACACTACAATTGTGGCCCAAAGCAAGCCGTCTGGCATCCGCTCTCAACGGCGCCGAATAATTTCTACCTACTTACCTACCCAAGTCTGTATACCGGCTACCTACCTACCTGCCTACCTACCTACCCACCTACGGAAGTGAAGCACACTCGGTGGGTCCATCTCGAAATAGGTATGTCTGAGGACAGGCAATTGCGCGACTTATTTGGTCCGAAGAAATGCACCTTCCTTGACACTTTTGGTGAGGGGAAGACGAGACGGGAAGCGACAGGACGGAACAGGGAACAAACAGCAAGAGCAAGCAGGCAGGCAGGTATTTCGAGGAAGGAAGTTGCCCGTGCGCCAAGATGTACATACTTGCTTACCATTTGAGAAAGACCTACGGATACTTCTTTTTTCCTCCTCTCCCAAGTGGGGAAAGCATGGAATGCAGAGCATGGCGGGGCAGGGCAGGAACGGGGGGTTGGAGGTAGGGAACACATGAGGTACTTGCGTTGCTCTCGACGCACAGGCGGCCGCTGTATCTCCATGGCCCGACAATGTACCTTTTCTTGCTCCCTCTTTCCCCCCCTCTCTTTCCTCCATGCCTGCCTGTATGGTATGGTAGTGCAGGTACTTGGCTCGTCTCGTCGTCTGTTCTTGCCCATCTCATCTCAAAGGCCGAGCGGAAACAACACCACACAGACTCGCATCATGTCGACATCCCGTCCGTAGTCCACCGCACAGACATGATACGAGGGGGCGGAAACGGAGTCGGGAGCGGGATGCGCGAGCGGGGTTTTCAGCACATGCAAAGTCTAAAGAAAGAAAGAAAAATCAGGAAAAAGAAAAAAGGGAAAAATAAATAAATAAAATAGAATTGTTCATGGATGTCGAAACGCGCAATCTTCCGACCCCTCTTCAAAAGTTGACCATGAACGCACGCACCACCATTAGTTAGGTACGTGACGGCCACCATCACATCATGTCATGTTGAACACCCTTATCCTGTGTTGATGTCCATGTCTCTCTCTCTCTGCTGCAGCAGAGAGACTTTTGTGTTTGGCCATTGGACAAGCACTTGTCGCTTTTCTCTTGTAGATTCCCTGTTGGGTGAACGACACAGGCCAAGACGGCGTGGTGACCTCGATGCAACCCACCTTTGCTAGCCACCGCGCTTATCCTCTTCCTATCGGACCTGCGTCTGTCTGCACCACCGCCTACGATGTACCACTTTGCGATCCAACATCATCATGCACGCAGAGGGGTGGGTGGGGTGGCCGACCGACCAACGATGCTAGCCCCACTCTTCTTCACCTCTGCTCATGCCCTTATTTTATCTTTATTTTGTTTTACTTATTTCTTTTTATTTCTGGTACTCTTTTCCACGAAACATACCAATCCCTTCATGACTTCTACTTGTCGAGTACGGAGTACCGCCCTCCATACATGCAATCTTCTTATCACGAGCCTTTTGTCCTTTACGCCACGATACCACCCACCATCCTTACTGCCTGTTTCGGATGCCGAGCGTCTCTACTCATCTCCGCCTTTGACGTTTTGCCAAGAACACCCCCGAAATACTGCTCAAAGCCCCTGTACGAAGGAGTCTGTCTCCTTCCTTCTCTTAGCCAGCAAGAGATGCGGCGCCTCTGTGTTCGCGAGGTCGCAGTGCTGCCTAGTGGATCTGCTGGTTGGTTGGTCGCCAAAAGAAGCCTAAATGAATACCTTCGACTCGGTATGCCCACACCTTGACTCTCCCCGTCCCTATAATATTACCTCCCAATGGCTGCCCGCCCATACGTCGCCAAGGCGGTTAGGTGCCTTGCAAGGCCGCACATCTTGAGCAGCGCTAGTAGGTATATACACTTGATCTGGCATGCGCAGCCACATGAACCTCCGGTCATGAGCTCCGTGCCCAGCACCAGCTTTGGCTTGAACTCCACCTCCATCTCGAAACCCTAGCCCTGACTCTTCATGATCCTCCACACGCCCACACCAGCCAGTGTAGAAAGAGCATAGAGGCTGATCATGACCGAAGGCTTGGTGGGGTCGACTTAGTCGAGTGGACCAACGTCGTCTTCACGCAGCCCGTCGGTCTCGTTTCGCCGACGACGCGTACGAATACATGGACAGAGCCGGATACTCTTACATGGAATGGTGAATGCGCTTCTGCTCAACGGACCATTGCTCCTGAGAGAAGCCGTCACCTCTCTCGCTCTCGGTACATACATCCTCGACGTCTCTCTCGCAACATTGAAAAAGGCATCAAGTCTGGCTACATCGTGTGTGGGCGACGGATGGTCGGTTCCCTTGCGCTATGGTCCATCTTGCAACACTGATCTGCGGCTGCACTGCCAATGGTTGACATCGTCATGCATCGCAATCGTTCATGCTCGCAACCCGAGATCCGCCGGGGAAGCACCTCACGCGTTCCAGGCCGCGTGTCGCGCCTGTAGTGCCGTTACACCTGCCTGTCCGCAAGCTACTCTCCGCAAACTCTGTCCATCTCAAGCCCGGATGGGCAGGCTCACGATCTTCCCGCTAGCCCGCTCTCGCGTCGATTCGAGGGGGAGTGTGCCTGGTTGGGAGGCCCCTCTATGCCTAGCCAACCCCGCAGGGATAGTATCATCCCATGGCGACATCGAACAGGCCAGTTCTTCTTCAACGACCAGGGGGTTTCAAAGGCCCGTATGCCTGCCAACATAATCGTATTTATGGGGAAGAACAGCCACGACAACCAAGGAATGAGAAGCATTGAAGGAGTTGCATCGCGAAAACATCCCGGTCCAAGAGGGGAAATTCCACTCGCTTCGCCTGGTTCACTGCAACCCCGACTGACATTATCATGCAGCTTCTAACGGCTCGGAACCAACGATGGCAAAGACAGCCCAGCCCTTGAGTGGGTGGCCGTCAGCAATCCTTCGATCCACACAGGCGTCTTCGGCGTTCACAAGCCGTTGAAGAATTTCATGTCGCCGCAGATATGTTTCTACCAATTGAACAATGGCCATGCGAATGAGTCTATTAGCCTCATCGTTCCGATCGCCTCTTCAACGGCATTCGACGACGACAAATCGAACGGCCCTGCTTACGTTGCAATTGCAACGCAGACCGAGCACTTCAATGATTCTGCGGACTGCAAGCTCCTCGCAAGACCCGGCCGGCATCGCATGCTTGGCCCATTGACTCGGCCTGTTCGATCGTTTTGTCACACTAGCTGCATGATGACTGGATGGGTCGGTCTCTGGTGGTCGCTATCACCGGCTATCCGCTCGCTATACCAAACAAGACATGGAGTCTCCGTCCGTTGACGGAGGATCCCCAGGACCCCTGCTACCCTGTTGGAGGTACAAGCCTAGTACTCGCGGTGTACCCCTTAGGTTCTGATTCAGGATATGCCCAGGTATTACCATCCAATATTGACGCTGCCTTCGTCTCGTTGACGCCAAGATTATTCCACTCTCGGCCATGGAGCGCGCAGCTCCTGCGCGTGAGACAGTCCAATGCCTCGCCAGTGATTGACCAGAAGTTGCATAGTTCGGGCCATGAGTTCCTAAGATGGTCAGCAAAATTCAATACGCTTATCAGAAATGGGAAACAGCTCGCAAGCGCCCGCCAGCCTTCAAGGATGGTTTCCTTGAGCGCATCGTCAACCATCTAGATTTCTTTCGTCGCTATTCGGGTGGATTTGGCGTGTTCGCCTCGGCCCCCACGTACATATCATCTCGGCAGGAGGATCAACGGCCATCATCAACGTATTGACGGATGCGCGCGAACCTCATTGGAGAAAAGGTCACCATTCGGAGACCCATGCCGAATGTTCACACCCATTTCCCAGCAATATCCACAGTCGATGGAAATATCTCAAACACCATGGGGGCCAGAAAGTCATCAGCCCATTTTCGTGGCCTGTAACGTAACGATTGAGCCTCAACTCGTGAAGCAACGGGCTGTTGTACCTCGAGAAAGAGAAGTAGTTGTTGGCGCTCGATCCCACGGCCCCGTTGTAATCCGAGCGAGCCACCTCTGCGATGGTGCCGATTTTTATCGCGGCTGCGGCGTGCGCCGCTTAAATTCCCTTCGCTCATTGTCATCGAAACAAACACCCCTAAGAACTCTCCACTAAAGACAAGGACCAGCGAGTCCTGGCCGAAGAGTGGAACTGACGAGCGCTGAAGAATTGACCGGGGGGTGGGGGGGCGAAGAAGAACGGCCTGCTACTTACAGCTTACAAGTCGACTGACAGGACCCTGTCCGTTTGCAGACGGATGATGAGACCACGCCCCCGCCTCTTGGGCTACATACCATCCAACCCCCCCCAGTGTATGTCTATCAACATAGACCATGGAGCACAAGCTCCATTACAGACCAGCATCTAGTGGTGGGGTGGGAGGGGGCTAACCTTGAATGACGAGGTTCTGCTTCGCTGCTGTCCTCGCAAATAGAGAAGCATCGGTTGCGAACATGGCTACAGAGCGGTGATGAAGCCGGGCAAGGTTTGAGCAGACATGATGCAGATGCAGGACCAGCTCTAGAGCATCTTTTGCTGTGTCTATCTTCGGGTGGTTGTCTTGAGATGCCGAAGCACAACAAGCAGCCATGGGTGGACCGATGACCAGATAGATCAAGTGGATGGGTAATCAAGGAAATATGCTACTGGTCTTGTGTCTGTGGGTGTAAGATGGAGCTGGCCTTTAGACCAGTTGCATCACGAGCTCTTGACCATTTTTCTTTGTTCTGGGTTTGGTAGAAGTGTGACGAGCAGGTTTTTCGGTTGTAGGGAGAGGCAACAACAGCTTGCGGCCAGCGGCTTGCGTGTTGGCGTCACATGTTGATGATTTCGCGATCTTGCACGGGTTTTTCTTGGTGCAAAAAACAACAACCCGAAGACATGCAATCACCTTGTACTGGATAAACCGTCAAAAATGACTTTTGAGCATTCAGGTGGACGCTAGATGTACGATGGATGTACTTTGAAGGCGTCATGGTATGGGTTCAGGCAGAGTAGGATAAGTCTTCGTTATGACGTGACAACCGTGCTTGTCTGAGCGACGCACGGTCTTGGACCGCCGCTGCCAATCCAACAGTACACTTGAGACGACGAGCAAGCGTCCACATGTCAAGCTTTGTTACTCTACCGTCTCGCCGTTATGGCTTTACTCTGGCTGCACCAGGTAGGAAATGGGTGGCAGAGGTGAAGCAAGTGAGTGGTACGTTCGCCAAGGATGTGACATTCGACTTTGTCACGCCCCCTTCTCTCTCTCTGCTCACTTCCCCCGCAATGCAATGGGAATACCGGTATAACATAAAACAAGGGGGAGGAGATGGCGGGGCAGGGGAGAGACGGTTGGCAATGGGGGCTAGAACGCGGGGGAATGAATTGGTTCTTGTTTGGCGAGTTGAGCCGCTGTTGATCTTTCACATGCTTTCTTTTCCCCCGCCTTTTTTTTTTGCCTTTTCCCTCTCTCTCTTCTTCTTCCTTCTTTAATTCTCCCGTCGGCCATTGGACGAAGTCTTAATACCGTCCAGATACCTGGATTCCCTTTGATTGGAACGGGTGTGTCTTGATATGCATATGCAGGCCGATTCGTTCCGACGCTGGGTTCGTAAGAGTCGCTCAATGCTTGGGGCTTGCCGCCCCGGCCCCTAACTGCATGGCTTGAAGCAGGGCTTGAAGTACCTAGATTTGTAGACAAACGTCTAACCGGCTTGGCGACCAAGGCGCAATATCCCCACGAAGCTGAGCCGATTCCAAATCGGCGGCTTCCTCTCCGGAACAAGCTTACCTGCTTAATCCCGGGGAGACCGGCTAGCCAGCCAGCCAGCCAGCAAACAAAATGCCTCAGCGCAACGCCAATGACGCGGCACGCCGGGCGGCATGCGAAGATGGGGAGATTCTGTAGCGAAATCCTACTTGTGGAAGTTCAAGGGCAATTTCAGCTGCCACCCCCTCTCATCCCGATTTGCCTGATGTCGGCATTAGTGCGTCGGACGGTTCGTGAACTTATCTTGTCCTGCCCCTCGGGCGCCATTAGGATTTATGACTGAGGAGAGGCGCAGGCATCACCACATGCCGTAAAAGTACGAATGCCTTTCCGGAGTCCCGCGTGTGTCCTCGAGGGCGGTGGTGGATGAACGAAATCCTCGTGCCGTGGCGTCCAGTTCCGCGTCTCTGGGATGATGGAGTCCTGGTAGGTTCGCGCTCGCTCGGATGGTTTGCCCGTGCGCTCGGGAGGCGTTCTCAAATCAACCTAGTGGCCCAGCCCTGGCGTCCGATGATGCGGCGTTCCGTGAGGTTGCTGGATTCCTGCGATCCGTTATCCTCAAGGCAAAAAGAGGGGGGGGGGGGCTTGGGTTTCCTTTGGCGTACCAACAACGCCCGCCATTTGCAGAATCTAAACCGGGTGCTCACGAAAAGTGTTCTGAGTCGGTGATAGCTCTCCCTTCCCGTCGCGAGAGGGATCGAACGGCCCTTTGGACGCTGAAGGTCTGGCCATTGCGAAAGGGATGAAGAAGGATTAATATTGGCCATTGAAAATGTCTCGGACTGCTTGGAGCTAGCTACACTACATGATGCCTACCGGGCTGTGGCTTTCGGCTGCATTGCGTCGATACCCCTCTCTGATATCTCATCATTGCACTTCGTCTCGTATTCTTGAGGTGAAGTTTAGTATATATAGCGTTCTTCGGGTTCTTGTACACGGGGACGGCTAGTGTACATTGTTGTTCACCGAACTGATCATTACGCATTTCGAAAGGAACAGACGTCCTTCTCTTACACTACGTTACTCCCACAAATCAGTGTTAGGCGGTGGGAAAACGATGGACCCATTCTTCACGGCACAGATATCATGTCTTGTCTTCTTGTGCTGTTTCAGTATGGCCGAGGCTTTCCTTGGCGATTATCAAAGAGTAGAACGCGCGAGCTCAACTTGATTGTACTTGGCAACTCGGCCTTGTTCATGATGGGGTCTTCAAGAGACGGGAAGAATCACCATGGTCCTGTTTTGAAGTCTCGCCTGCTTTCCCTTCTATTCCATGAGAAAAAGGGAAAACTTCGAGAACCAATCGCAAGTTACGGAGGCGGACATGTGTACATCTACCGAAAGACGTATGCCCGGATTTGCCATGGAGACGAGAAACTACAGGGACGAGTGCATAGTCATCGGGCCAACTACATTATCCTTGCCATCGACTCAGCAGAGCAGACGATGGGAACGACGAGCACATCTTTGAAGCATAAAGAACTTGAAGTATCAGTGGCGGAGCAAGATGGAAGCTCGAGACAGAGGAGCAGAATAGACCTACATGGGGAAGAGGAGGGGTCTTCATATTCATCAATGTCAGTTTGCTGAATCTGATCATAT